CCTGAGGTTCCTGCGCAGAGAAGCTCCCAGACCAAAGGAAGACTGAGGACATGGACTTTCCTCCAGAGCCGACAGAGAAAGTGTTCCCCTGGAGCTGATGCCCTGAATTTGGACTTGTAGCCTACTGGGCTGTGAGAGAATAAACTTCTCTTTGCTAAATCCGTCCACTTGTGGTATTTCTGTTAGAACAGCACAGATGACTGAGACAGAGTTCTTTATATGTTCCAGATACTAGTCTTTTGTTAAAATATGTTAGAATCTTTTCTCTCACTTTGTGGATTGCCTTTTCAATCTCTTAATGCTGTCTTCTTTTGGGCAACTTTTTATTTTGATATGATTTCAAATGCATAGAAAAGTTGCAATAATTTTATCAGGAAAAATTCCCCAGATTTATTAGTTGTTTATATTTTATCCCATTTTTCATGTGCTGTCTGTGTACATATGTATCCAACATTTTTTTGGAGCCATATGAGAATAATTTGTAGAAATCTTGCTACTTTACCTGTAAATGCTCCAGTTTGTATTTCCTAAGGATAAGGACATTCTCCTATGTAACCATAACACAATTATCAAATTAAGGAAATTTAACATTGATTTAATATCTAATCCACAATCTATATGCAAATTTTGTGAAAATACTTTCTCAATTGGAAATCTATACCACTGCAAAAAGAAACCTAGTAACCTGGGTTCAATATTTCTTTTTTTAAAAAATATATATATTTAATTAAATTAATTAATTTATTTTTTATTGTACTTCAGATGAAGGTTGACAGAGCAAACTAGCTTCTCATTAAACAATTAGTACACATATTGTTTTGTGACATTGTTTGCCAACCCCACGACATGTAAACACTCTCCCCTTCTCGATCTTGGATTCCCTATTACCACCTTTCCTGTCCACTCCTGCCTTCTAGTCCTTACCCCTGGGCTGGAGTGCCCCTTTAGTCTTGTTTTGTTTTATGGGCCTATCTAACAGGGTTCAATATTTCTTGACAATTTTTTTGTTTTCATCCTGAGTTTTGCAGTCAAAATGCTGAGTTTAAAAATGACTTGGTTTAGCACCTTTTTCCTCCTTCACTGTGGTTATGTTTTTCACTTCAATTAGAATCAAGTTCACTTGTTTCTGTTTGTATGACATTTTACGGTCCTCCCCGCAACATGATTTGATTTTTTTTTTGAGTTTGTAAAGCATTCACATGGTTTGAAAACACAAACTATACAAAAAGATACTGAGAGAAATATCACTTCCTTTACCATCGCTGCAGCCCAATTCCCGCCCACTTCCTGTAAGTAATAAATCATTATTTTTTGGATTACCTTTCCTCTGTTTGCAAAAATAAGCAAAAAGATGTATTTTTTTTCTTATTTGCCCTTCTTTCTTACACATAAGCTAGCATGCTACATATACTCTTCTGGATTTTTTACTTTTTTTCATTAACAGAATATCCTGGCTATCACTCACTATCAATTCACAGAGACTTCCTCATCTTTAATAGCTGCATAATATTTCATTACATGGAGTATATATGGTACTAACACCATAGTTTACTCAACCAGTCTCATATGTATAGGAATGACGGTGTTTCCAATATCTTACAGTTACAAACAATCTGCATTGAATAATCTTGCACTTATTTATTTTTGTAATGTTGGAGGTATATTTTCAGGAAAAATTTCCAGAATTGCTGGGTTAAAAAGATGAGTGCATAAGCATAGGTAGTTTTGTTAGCTCTATCCAAGATCCCTTCCATAAGATTGTTTCAGGTTGCATTCCCACCAGAAATGTCTGAGAGTGCCTGCTGCTTCATAGCCTGGCCAGAAAAATGGGTTGTCAAAATTTTCTATTTTTGTCTTTTGATAAATGAGTAAAAGTATATTAATGTAAATCTTTTCATATATGTAAGGTCTTTTTATTGTAGTAAAATATATGTAACGTAGAATTTGCCATTTTAATCATTTGTAAATGTAGAAGTCAGTGGCATTAATTACATTCACAATGTTGTCTAATCATAATCACTATGTATTTCCAAAACCTTTCATCACCCCAAGCAGAAATTTTGCCCCCATTAAGCAATAAATCCTCCTTCTCCCTTTTTCCAGCACTGGAAACCTCTAATCTCCTTTCTGTGTTTGTGAATTTACCTGTTCTAGACATTTCACAGAAGTAGAATCATACAATGTTTATCTTTGTGTGTCTAACTTATTTCACTTAACGTAATGTTTTCTAGGTTTATTCATGTTATATCACGTATCAGAACTTCATTCCTTTTTATAGCTAATAGAATTCCATTGCATGTATATACTACATTTTATTTATCCATTCATCTGTTGATGAATACTTAGGTTGTTTCTACCTTTTGGCTATTGTGAATAATGTTGCTATGAACATTCTTGTGTAAATATCTGTTTGAGTCCCTGCTTCAAGTCTTTTGGATAGATACCTAGGAGTGGAATTGCTGAGTCACTTGGTTATGCTTAACTTTTTGAGGAACAGCCAAAGTGTTTTCTGTAGTGGCTGCACCCTTTTACATTCCCACCAGCACTGTACAAGGGTTTCAATTCCTCTACATCTTCAATATTTTATTTTTTGTTTTGTAAAGAATCTTTACTGTAGTCATTGCAGTAGATGTGAAATGGTATCTCTTTGTGCTATGGATTTATATTTCCCTAATGACTAATGATGTTGAGCATCTTTTCATGTGTTTGTTGACCCTGTGTATATCTTCTGTGGAGAAATGCCTATTCAAATTCTCTGCCCATTTTTTTTTATTAATTGTCTTTTTGATGTAGAGTCGTAGCAATACATAATATAATCTGAATATTAAACCCTTATCAGGTATATGATTTGCAAATGTTTTCTCCCATTTTGGGGGTTGTCTTTTAACTCTCTTGATAATGTCCTTTGATGCACAAAAGTTTTTAATTTTAATGATATCCAATTTTTCTATTTTTTCTCTTGTTACCTGTGCTTTGGTGTTGTATTTAAGAAACCATTGCCAAATCCAAATCATGAAAATTATTCCCTGAGCTTTCTTCTAAGAGTTTTATAAAGTTAGGTCTTTGATCCATTTTGAGTTAGCTTTTGTATATGGTATAAGGTAAAGATCCAATTCATCCTTTTGCATGTGGGTATCAGTTTTTCCAGCACCGTATATAGTGTTTCATTTTATTTCAATTCCAAATAATACGTAATTTTCCTGTGGTTTCTTCTTTGGCCCCTGAGTTTTTAGATATTTTTATAGTTTCTAGTATTTTGATTTTCACCAGCATTTTTGTTGTTATTGCCAATGATTTAAAATTCAATTCCACTGTGGTCAGAGAACATACTTTGTATGATTGCAATCCTTTTATTTTATTGAGACTTGTCTTATGGTTCACCATATGGTCTGTCTTGGAGAATACTCTGTGTGCACTTTAAAATAGTGTCTTCTGCTATTGTTGGATGGAATGTCCTATAAATGTCAATTAGGTCAAGTTGGTTGATATTGTTGTTCAAGTTTATGTGTCTGCTTTTTCTATCAATTACTGAAAAAAGAGTTGAAGTCTCTAGCTGTAAGTGTCTATTTGTCTTTTTCAATTGGATTGGGTGCAAGTCTGTGGTTCATTTTTATACTAAAGGTGTAGCTTTTTGAAGTGCGGGCCTTCTATTCGGGTCCTCACTTTGGTCAGGCTCAGGTATTTTATATCTGGTTCCCATGCCCTCCTTTTACATCTGAAAGGTCATGAAACTGGAAACTGAAGGTACAGTTTGCGGAATTTGGCATGCACCTTTTGGGCAAAGTGGCTTTGGAAGTTCCCTTTCGCCACTTTGTTGTCTGTACTTCCATTTTTGTCTGATAATTCTTCATTGTCTTGTCAGCAGTTTTATTCTTTTAAGAAGATTAAAATATTTTCCAGACTTTTAATTACTTTCCAGTGAGAAGGTTGGTCCAGATATCTAACTTGCCTATTGCCAGATAAGCATATGATATCTTATATTCTAAAACGTGATCAAACTCTACTTATTTTTCTGCAGCTAGCATTTTGGTCTTATCAGTAAATATTGACAAGCTTACCACTGCAGTTATTACAGCACAATTAGCTGAATTTTTAAAGATTTGTATTAGTTAGCCAAATGAAGAGTGGTGGTGGGGATGGAGTACGTATTGGGCATAAGAGAGTATGGCAGGCCCTGAAACTGAGTCTGGCCAGATCATGGAATGCAAAGTGATCACGGGGGAAGATGAGGCTCCAGAGTTCAGCAGGGCTCAGATCAAAAAGTCCAAGAAACAGTTTCTCTCACATAGCACAACTCCATGGGAGCACTATGTGCATTGTAGTCTAAGTTAATGATGTTACCTGCCATTCTGTAATTTGCAACTTAGAAGGCTGACTTTTATCCACTTGTCTAAGAAGGGAGGGCGGAAGAAGGTAGATGGTGAATAAAAGTCCCCATTACTAGAGCAGGGATCCCAGAGTCCCCAAGGAGACTGTAGAAAAGACTTCTCTTGAGGTCCTTCATGGTCATAAATGCTTCAGATTCACACAAATTCATGGCCCTGAAGGTGGGTACCTTCTAGGTTTCATTGCAGATTCTATCTTATCCAGATCAGTAATGCTAAGCTAGTGATATCCTTTTTCATCCGGAAGATAAGGAAAAAGGAGTCAGTCTCTTAAGGGGCCAAATGGTTTGATGCTCTTATCCTCAGGAATGTTGAAATACTTATGAATCTGGTATCCTTGGGGAAACTGCCTCCTGAGGCCCAGCCCCCTGAAAACGTGCTTGGTAATAATGCAGCCTCCGCGTTCACCAGTTGGTTCGACAGCCTTCCCCATTCTATCAAGAAGATGGTCCTCAGCAAGGTGTCTGACTGCGAAATACAGAATCAGCTTTTCAAGGTCAGTAGCAGTAGCCAAGGGGGTGGGGCTAGAGTTCCTCAGAGTTTCCTATACAACAGAAACTTCAGCTTTAATTAACACAAGAAAACATTTCAGAAGCACCACAATAACCTGCAGTCCTGGTAGTGCAAATAGCTACGGTTTGCAGAATGCCCTTCCCTGGGTAATGCTAGGTATATTGGTTTTCCATGTCAGAGGGCCAGCTTGGAGAACTGATTTTCTCAATGACTTGGGGCTTCCAGGGAGTTTTCCAGGAAAGATAGACTGTATCTTTTTGTGTATTCTTCTGCACTTTCTCCCTTTACAGGTTAAGGAGGGCCCAAGATTTGCATTCCTGCTGTTCATTGAAGCAATGTCATTCATTCCTGGGTCTGCCTACTGGTCCATCCTCTTCTTCCTGATGTATCTGTCCTTGGGGCTGACTTCCATGGTAGGGATCATGCAGGGCATCATTACCCCACTTCAGGACAGCTTCTCTTTCTTCAGGAAACATCCAAAGCTGCTCATAGGTATTCTGACTTGTAATCCTACTCTCCCCAAAAGCCCTGATTCCACTAAGATTCTTACCCAGCCCTGGTCTATGACCTCTGCTTAGCCCTTGTCACTCAGCCAGACCTCTGACTTTGATCCAAAACCAATGTTTTCTCCAGTGAATGTCTCTGTGCTCATGTTCCTGTGCAGCCTCTTCTTCGCTCGGCCTTCAGGCTACTACTACTTCAGACTGCTGAGTGACTACTGGATAATCCTTCCCATCGTCCTCCTCACCACTTTTGAAAACGTTACTATAGCCTGGGTCTATGGGGCCAAGAGGTGATGTCCTGGGTCTAAGTTTTAACACAGCTTGGGACTATAGGGAAGGTTAACCCCTTTCTTGTTGTTTCTACTGTAACACAACTAGAGTGACATAGACCCTTGACTTCAGGGTCTTCTGGGAAACCTTTGTGTTCATTCATTCATTTAACATATTTACTGAGTGCTTAATATATGAGAAGCACTGTTTTAGTCACTGAGAATGCAGCATTAAATAAAACAAGCATCCCTGCCCTCGTGGGTCTTACATTCTAGTGGTGGAGATTGACAATAACCAAATGAAAAATAAAAACAATGCCAGGTGGTTGTAAGTGACAGGAGGAAATTAAAGGATAAGGTAAGATGATCAAGAGTGGCAGTACATGTGGGTGCTAATTTAGATAGGATTGTAGGGAAAGCCTCCCCTATAAGGTGACATTTGAGGGGACTCTTGAATGAAATGAGGGAGGGACCCATGAGAAGATTTCTGATAAATGGTGCTCCAAGCAGAGGAGACAGCAAATATTAAGGCCTATCCATCATGCTTGGAGTTTTTGAGGAACAAGGAAGTCAGAAAGGCTGAAATAGAGTGAATGAGGAGAAGAATGTTAGATGAGGCCAGAGAGGTAATGTAGCCAGATCATGTAGGGCCTTGTAAGCTCTTTATGCAGAATGAGAACGGAAGCACTGGAGGGTTTTGAGTAGGGGCGAGACATTAGATTTATTATTATTTTTTTAAAAAGGCCTGTGTCTGCTGTGTGGAGAATATAAGGCATCAAGAGTGAAGCAAGGAGAATAGTTGGGAGCTAGTGTAATATTCCAAGTGAGTGCTAACAATGGCTTGGAATTTAGGGATAGAGGTGTAGACAGAGAGAAGTGGTCCAATTCTATATACATTATGAAGGTAGAGCTGACAGGGAAGAGGGAACAAGATAATCAGGGACTGGGGCATAGAGGAGATAACTGAAATGGAATGATGGGAGAATCCAAATCAAATACAAGGGGCTTCTTGGCCCTGTTTTTTACCAGGCTAGTGTGTGGACATCCAAGTGGTATAATTCAAGGGGGGAAGGCTCAGGAGGCAGCATTTTCAGGTAATAGTGGTTCTTGGAATCAACTCATTCATTTATTAACTCATTCAACAGACATTTGTTGAGACTTTTTCTGTGTCAGGAAAACCTTGTGGTACTGGGATAGGACTCAATTAGATTTAGTTCCTCCTCTCCAATAGCACAAAGTCTAAAGAAGAAGACCTATGTAAACAGAAAATTCCAGTGCAGAGTGGTAAGTCTATAATAGAGGTATCTGGGGCAGTGTAGGGGCACAGATGCTTATATAAGGAATAATGGAGAGTCAGGGAAGGCATCTTAGAGGAGGGGATGCTTGAGCAGACTCAAGCAGAGAAAGAGAGAGAAAGGGAGAAGCCAAAGGACCCTACTTGTATATTTATTGAGGTTGAGAAAGTATACTTAAAAGAGGCTGCATATGTTGGCTTAAAAATGCTAAGATAAGCTCTCTGAAGGCAGAGTGTCATTTGTTTGTGTCACTGTTGCTCACTGCTGAATACTCAGCTCCTAGAAGAGTCCCTGACACATCATAGACATTCTCACATTCATGAAATGAATGAAATGAACTTAGGCTGTAACCTGAGGGTACTGGATATCCAAGGCTATTCTTGAGCAGTAGAGGAATGTTTGAAAAGCCTTCTTGGGTTGGATGGAGGACAGACTGACTAGGGAGAAGTGATAAAATAAGGCTTGAGGTGGGGCAGGGGTTTGGATGTAAAATAGAACGTTTGAAAGATGTTAAGGCCAAACTGGCCCTTACCTGAAAGCTGGATAAGGCCTGACTGGCCTCCCACAGTCTTGTGGCTCTTCCTCCCAGGTTCCTTGCAGAGATAATGATCCTCATGGACCGCCCCATCTCTCCCATCTATCGTTTCCTGTTATGCTGTCTGTGTCCATCTGTGCTGCTAGTCCTGTCTGCTATCTCCCTGATTTACATATATGTGCAGGACTTCATCTACGTGGCCTGGGACTCAAGCACTGTGAGCCTCCCTCCCCATGTCCCAGAACCCCCTAGGCAGTGGGGACTTGCCCTTTCAATCCACTCTTGGCCTAAGGACCCAGTTATCTTGTTCTCTGACTCCCTGAAGGCTCATCAGTTTTCTGACCTGGGTCCCCTGCGCCTCCACAGTCCTTCAGAACATAAGAAAGATGTTCTGAATCCTTTTCTTATCTCTCCACAGTCAAAAGAAGTGTCTCGAGAATTCCCGTCCTGGGCGCTCAACTTCATAATCATCTTAGGTGTCATTGTCTTCCTACCCATCCTTATATACTTTGTATACTGCCTCATCCATAGGATCCTCTCCAGCTCCATGAACTGGTCGCATCTATTACATTCTCCAAATCCTAAGGGCCAGCTAAGGCCCAGTAAAGATATTCATAAGCGGGAAATCCTACAAGGTAATAAAAGAAATTGCTGATCAATTTGTTGTATGATTTCCTAAAAAGTGGCAGTGACTGCATCCATTTGGCTTGACACCACACATCATTCAAAGCTTATCTAACAGGCAATTCTTTACATCAACTTGCAACTGTTGATATCCCTGCACCCAGAATCTCTTTTATTCCCAGGGGTAGGGGCATTTTTTGGGGGGAGATGGGCTTCATGGAGCCTGGCTCTGTAACCCCCTCCTAGACCCCATCCTTCCTGGTTACCACTGAGATTGTGTTTTCCCCATCCCCCTTGTCAGAACACTGTTGGTGATGACTACCGAACCTGCTTCTTCTGATCTGTCCATGTCCTAGAATGGGACTGGAGGAGTCACGCTGTTGGTCAATAAATGAGTCCACTGGGACCCCAAGCTCTGAGTGTGTGCAGACCTTTTTTTTAAATAAATGTCTGAGGCGTTCGGTCTTTTTCTCACTAAGCGTCTATTCTTCCAAGAGCAAAATGTCCAGTTCTGATTTGCTACGTATTCCTTGCTTTGGCAAATTCCCACGCTAGATGATTAGATTTGCCTTATCCAGGGCCTGTCCTTCAGCCAAGTTGGAGAAGACTTGCCAAGGAAACGGTGGCTTCATGAAAGATGGAAAAAATATAAATGTGCTTGCTAATGGGTTATGGCAATCCTGTCATGAATCTAAACATGATTTTTGTAAAAAGGTTGCATCAGTGGTTCCAAGACTGCTTTATGGACTAAGTGCATCTATGAATCGACTAGTTTTGGGGAACTACCATGTTATATTGCTGAGCCAATCAAAGGTCTGCTTGGTAAAAGCCATCATTAGTTTTACCACAGGGCTAAATCAAATGAATTTGCCTTGTAGGTAATAACAGAGTGGATCTCTTGAACTTGTGAGTGGGGTGGCTCTATAACGGAGCTGAAGCCCAATAAGGGATGGGGCCAGCCAGTTATCCACTGAGGCTGTGGGCTGTGGGTAGATATTGTTGGGATTCCTGAAGATCCAGGGGATGGGTTTTCATTTAATAATGCTCAGAGATGCCAGCATTTTGGATTGCTTGGGGTCCATGGGGAGGCTACCCCTGGGTAAGTTTCTGTGAGAAAAGGGAAAGATGACACCCCCAACCATTTGTGTGTCGGACATGAGGGGTGGGTCTGGTAAACGGAAAGAGGGTGGATCCTAAAGTCTTCATACCTCTGAAGTCTCAAGCTCCTCAAGCTCAAAAATAGGAGAGACTGGAATGGACGTGAACCTCCGTGTCCATTGGCTTTTGTACTCTGTTGCTTACTTTGGACATATTGTTAGGAGGGACCAATACTTGGAGAAGGACGTCATGCTTGGTAAAGTAGAGGGTAAGCAAAAAAGAAGACGCTCAACGAGATGGATTGACTCAGTGCTTCCAACAGTGGGCTCAAACATACCTACTATTATGAGAATCAGGCAGGATAGGGCAACTTTAGTTCCACTTTACACAGCATCACTATGAGTTGAAGCCGACTCTAAGGCACCTAACAACAACACCACCTAAATGAATGATCTGTCTGCTTGAAAACTTGTGCTGTTGAGTCGAGTAAGTTGGGGATTGGAGAGAGAAGGCAGTTGCCTTTTCCCCACGATATATTTTAAGTTACTAGAATATAAGCTTTACTAGCACTGAAGCAGGAATTTTGATGGTTCACTGCTGTATCCAGAGTTCCCAGCCAGTGTCTCATACATGTGTTTGCAAGCCCAAGTAGGTAATAAAATATTTTTTAAATGAATACATTAGATCCAAAGCAAAACTCGTTGCTGATTTGATTCCAATTCTCGAGGCGGCCCCAAATGTTACAGAGTAGAACTGTTCTGGAGGGTTTTCTTGGCTGTAATTTTTATGGAAGCAGTTTGCTAGATCTTTCTTTTGCGGTGCTGCTGGGTAGGTTTGAACCTCCAATCTTCAGGTTAATAATCCAACACAAACCATTTGTGCACAAGAACCTTTAGATAAGATTCAGAAATTGATATTTTAAATAGTTTCAGTCTACGTGTGAGACTTTTCCACCTCAGATATTATTTCTCTACTTGATTTAAGAAAAAAAACCCTATTAATATCTGAAGTGATAAGTTACAAATACACAAAAGATTTTGATTTTCCCCAAGCACTATGACCATCTATGTAGTGTTGACTCTTTTTCGAAGCTACCAGACTCTTCCAAATGACCTTGACTCCTGGTCATTTTCATTCATTAAGAAAAATCCACCTAACATCCATTTTAAAACTCTAATCTGATTCAAAGCTTCCCCATTCCTATTTTTGGATAGGCTTGTGGCTCAAGGGACCTGGAGTGAAGCAGAGGTGGTCTGTGATTCTATTCCTTCATCCCCTTTGACCCATCCCCTCTCCTTTTCTAGCCCATGGTTCCAACCCCAAGTCTACCCTTTCCAAGCTTAAAATCCCCTTCCTTTTTTCAAGCCTAAGGCTCCACGCAGGGGAATAAGGGAATAGGGGACAATCTTCTTCAACTTTGCTGGGAACATAACTGCAATTGTTTCTCCACAGGTGGTTGCTGCTTCTCTGGCTAATGCAGACTGGCCTCATATGCCCTAATGTGTAGGAGGTGTGTGAATGGTGGTTTTCTCGTGGAGCCTCATGTGTGAGTTCTCCTGACAGCAGAGTTCCCTGATGTGGGAGACTTGACTCCAACTTAATCTCTTCCGAGCCCCCTCCTATTTTACTCATGGTGATATATCAGACAACATTTTCCTGCCAGGCTCCCAGGTCCAGCAGCCAGCCTTCTTAGGTAATGTACCTACTAAAGAATGTAAGCCAAGCTACTTTCCATGGCGCCTAATGACCCACAGGAAATACAGGCATTCTTGTCACCACCGCCCTGGTAAAGAAATAGAACATCATCAGCATCCCACAAGGTCCCATGAGGTCACTGCCCCTCACTACTACTTCTCTCCCCTCTAGAAGTAATCACTTCCTTGAATCTTTATAGTTTTATGATTTATGTATGTATCCTTATATAGTTTACCTTTACTTACTTTGAGACCTCTCTCCTTACATTTGCTCACACACACACGCACGTGCACGCACACACAAACATACACTATGTTTTCTCGAAAGGTACTCTATATGTTGTCTGAAAGTTTTAAATTTTTACTTTTTAACATTTAAATCCTTAATCAATCTTGTGTTGATTTTTTTTTATGAGGTGCGGGTGTGAATCTGAGTTTATTTTTAAAAATATGGATATCCAATTGTACCAGAACTGTTTATTAAATGCAAATTTTTTCTGACTCATCTACAGTGCCAACTCTGTCATTTATTAAAATTTCATGTATATCTGGGTCTGTTTTGGGACTCTTTATTCGGCTTCATTGGTCATTTTTTTATCCTTCACTGTCTTAGTTACTATAGCTTTATAATAAGTCTTGAAATCTTATTCTTCTTCAAAAGTATCTTCATTATTCTTTTTTCTATTTTCAATATACATACAAAACAGTAAGAAAAGGATAAAAGGTATGTAGATGGGTTAGGAAGAAATTTACATACAATAAAATTCCCTCTTTTGATACAAGGTTGTATGCGTTTTGACACATACATTTATAGAGAGTCATACAAATACCACCACAAACAAGATCCAGAACAGTTCCAGCACCTAAAAACTCCCTTGTGTTGCCTTTTTGTAGTCATTCCCTCCCTCCACTCTTAACCTCTGGCAACCAGTGATCTGTTCTCCATCACCATAGTTCTGCCTTTTCCAGAATATCATTTACAGGAAATCATACCGTATGTAGCCTTTTGAGTCTGCCTCCTTTCACTTAGCATAATACATTTAAGAGTCATAAATGCTGTTGAATGTATCAATCGTTTTCTCCTTTTTATTGCAGAACAGTATTGCATTCCATGAGTGTACCACAGTTTATCTATTCACCAGTTGAAGGACGTTCGGAGTTTTCCTTTTCAGGCAATTATGACTAAAGCTGCTATAAACGTTCACATACAGGTTTTTGTGTGAAAAAAACCTCTTGGATAAACACCTAGGAGTGATATTGCTAGGTCGTATGGAAAGTGTATGTTTTAACTTTTTAAGAAACTACCAGACTCTTCCAAAGCGGCTGTGCCATTTTGCATTCCATTTTGTAATGTAAAAAGAGTTCCAGCTGTTGTGCATCTTTGTCAAGACTTGATATGATTTGTATTTTTTATTTTAGCCATTCTAATAGGCATGTAATGGTTTTAATTTGCATTTCCCTAATGAATTTGTGTGTTCTTTCTTAATTTCTTTCCCCTCCCCCGCACCCCGGTTGGTCTGAATAGAGATTTATCAATTTTCTTGATCTTTTCAAAGATTTGGCTTTTGGTTTTATTGGTTTTCTCTATTGTGTTTCTGTTTTCAATTCATTGATTTCTGTTCTTTATTACTACATTGCCTCTGTTTATTCAGTTTAATTTGCTCTAGTTTTTTCTTGTTTTTATGGTAGCAGCTTAGATTTTTGGTTTGAGACATTGCTTCCTTTCCAATATAAGCATGTAGTGCTATAAATTTCCATTTAAACACTGCTTTAGTTGCATCACACAAATTTTGATATGTTGTATTTTCATTTTTGTTCAGTGCAAATGTTTTCTAATTTCCCTTGATAATTCCTCTTTGACCTATGGGTCATTTAGAAGTGTGTTGTTTAATTGCCAAATATTTGAGGATTTTTCCAGTATCTTTGTGTTTTTTATTTCTTGCTTAATTATTTTATGGTCAGAGAACATGCTTTATATGATTTCCATTCTTTTTTAAATTGTTATAGCTTGTTCTATGGGCCAGGATATGGTCTATCTTGGTGAATGTTGTATGTGTACTTCAGAAGAATGTGTATTCTGCTGTTGTTGAGTGGAGTGTTCTATAGATACAAATTACATTAGTTTGGTTGATAGTATTATTCAGGTCTTCTATGTTACTGCTGATTTTCTATCTACTTGTTCCACCAATTACTCAGAGCAGACTGTGGAAGTTTCAAAGTATATCAGTTTTTGCTGCGTGTATTTGGATCCCTGTTGTTAGGTGCATGTACATTTAGAATTGTTATGTCTTCTTGGTGAATTGACCCTTCAACATTATGTAATGTCCCTCTTTATATCTGAGAAGTTTTCTTTTCCTGAAATCTGCTTTGTATGAGATTAACAGAGCCTGCCCAACTTTCTTTTGATTTTTGTGTGATATCTCTTTCTCCATCCTTTACTTTTTAAAACAGTTTTACTGAGATACAATTCATATGCCATAAAATTCACCACTTAAACTGTACAGTTCAATGATTTTTAGTATTTTCACAGAGTTGTCCATTCATTACCACAAAATAATATTAGTGTGATGTCATCACCTCAAAAAGAAACCTATCATTTTACTTTTATTTATATCATTATATTTGAAGTGAGTTTTTGTAAACAGTGTACAGTTGGAACTCCCCCGCAAATCTGACAACCACTGATTTTTAATTGATATATTTGGGTAATTTACATTTAATATAATTATTGATATAGTTAGGTTTAGATCTACCATTTCAATATTTGCTTCTACTTGTTCGTTTTTTTATATTGTAAAGATATATATAACATTTGCCAATTCAATGTTTTTCACGTGAACAATTTAGTGACACTAATTACATTAATCATGTGGTGCAATTATCACCAATATCCGTTGGCAAATTTTCCATCACCATAAACAGAAACTGAATGCTTCTTAAACAATGCTTTCCTCTTTCTCCTTCCTTCCTGCACTTGGTAACCACTGCTAAACTTTGGTGTCTATAATTTTGCCTATTCTCAATATTTCATATAAGTGAGATCATATGTTTCCTTTTGAACTGACTTATTTCACTCAGCATAATGTTTTCAGTGTTGGTCCATGTTGTAGCATGTATCTACTCTTCATTTGTCTTTATAGCTGAGTGACAGTCCATTGTATGTATATACCATATATATTTTTTAATCTATTCATCTGTTGATGGACATTTAGTTTGTTTCCACCATTTGGCTGTTGTGAAGAGTGCTGCAATGAACTTTGAGGTACATACATGTGTCTATTTGTGTCGCTGCTTTCAATTGTCTTGGGTATATACCTAGGAGTGGAGTTACTAAGTCATATGGTAGTTCTGTGTTTAACTTTTTGAGAAACTACCAAACTGTTTTTCACAGCAGCTGTACTATCTTGCATTCCCACCAGGAATGAATAAGGAATCCAGTTTTTCCACATCCTTGCCAACAGAAGGAGTCCTGGGCTGCTCTAGCTTATCCTTTACATCCAACCCTTCTCCCGGAATGAGTCCTATGACTTCACTTCCATGGGACAGGTCACTTCAGTTCCCCAATCCTCAGGTCAAATTCTCTCCCTTCTGCTGGCCCACTTTCTTCTCCTGCCTCCTTCTTCATGGGGGGCTTGTACTACAGTGCGATCATGTCCTGGAGTTTCTTCTGTTTTGTTCAGTCTTTCCAGTCCCCACTGCTTGGACAGTGTGCCCTTCACTGGAGAACTCCAGTGCTTTGGATGAGAAGGAAGGAAGAAAAGGGAAAGTGGGAGGGCTGAGAAAAGGACAGGGGAGTGAAAGAGGAAGAAGGATCATTGAGAGAAGAGGGATGAGGAAGAAGATGAAATGAGATTGGAAGGATGGGGTGGATGTGAAGAAGGGGGAGGTACCTGGTCTTGCAGTTTCCTCCATGGCCAGTTCACCCCAGATCCTGAATGTGAATAGACAACCTCCACCACATACTTCTGGTACTGTAAAATATTGAAGGCCACAGAAGAAATTGAGAAGGATGGGCTACCAGTCTTGCATCTTGGTATGTCTCTCTCTGTGACCTGGTTAATTATATGCATCTCCATGGTCCAGTGGCTCAAATCCACTGCAAAAGGTGAGCCACTTTTAATTTACCAATCTGATGGAATCCCTTCTGTCCAAGACCCCCTAATATTCTCCTAACTCTGATGCCTATTGGTCTCCAACTTCTCACTCCTTCTAATATGACCTCTGATTCCGAATAGCCTTTGATATATTACCCTCAACTTCTGTTTTTGCTGAACTCTATTTCTGAATCATACTTTCTACTCAGACTGTGTATGTTTCAGAACTCCTACCTGCTTCATTCTTGTATATCTCTGTATCCAGAGTCTCCTTCTGGAACGTGCATGTTTTGTTCTGGAGCATTTGCTGGATGCCAAGTGGGGGTCACTCCCTCCTTTAATCCTCAAATGCAGACGGAGGTGTTAGGGACAGTACGGTTGTCAGTCTGATATAAGGCCCCATCTCTCCCTCTTTCCCTCCCTCTTCTCTCCTTCCATCTCTGTCACAGTTTACTGCGTCTTGTATTTGTAAGGTACTTCTCCCTCTCAGGTGCCGTCTCTGTTCTCTGGAAGCATGGTGCGGGGCAGGGAACCAGTTCTTTTATGCCTTGGGCCTAGGCTTTGGCAGCTTCACCTCAAGCAGCTCATACATCCATCGGTCCAAAAACTGTGTCAGTGATGCCTGTGCTGTGACTCTTCTCAACTTGGTCACCTCAATGACTGCCACATTGATTATATTTCTGTAACTGGCACGGTCAGAAGGAGACAGAGGGAAGCAACCGCTTAGGCGCAGCAGGGTGTAGAGAACACCATGTGTATATGGGGGAGGGTGGGGTGGGCGAATCGCCCGCTTGGTCGGTAGAGGGCGTGCGAGGGGAGCAGCAGCGCATGCGCGGAGAAACGGCGGGAAAGACGGAGCGCGAAGCAGGGCAAGGAGCGTCGCTGGCGCCCGTGGAGGCCTGAAGGGGCTCAAGGAGGTTGGTAGGCTTCGCAACTGAGGCTTCTTCATCCTCATTTTCGCCCGACTAACCAGATTGAAGAGTCCTGTAAGGGCCTCGAGTCCAGGGTACTGGTGACTCTGAAGAGCCCACAGTGTTAACAGATCTGGGGTGTGCGAGGCTGGGCGCCGTTCCCAGAGGCCCGTACCTTCCAGCTGGCGGCACCGTGGAGCTGAGGGATCAAATAGGCCTCAGGGGTCCCTCCTGTTTTTTGCCATAGGACCCTGGAAACTGCCTCCAGTCCCTTCATCCACCGAATCTGAGTTTAACAGGTCTGTTGGCCCGGCCCTTGCAGGTACCCACCCCTCAGCCCCCACCGTTGGGGAGGGCAGGCGTCAAGCTCCCTGACTGCGGGGACGCCTCTCCAGCCTTTTAGGGACTGCTGTGCCCGGTCCTGGAGCATCTGGGCCGTGGTTCCAGGGGAGGAGGTAAACAGAGACAAAGGGACCTTTCTGGGAGCCCCAGGAGTGAGCCCAAGAAAGGCATTGATGGGAATGAAGGTGCTGGGTTCCCAGGATGGGCCTCTACCAGCACTCCCGGCCTGGGAGAAAGGTTCTGAGGCCTCCACGGGTCTTTGTAGGAGTCAGAGGTGGCAACTTGGCGGAATCTGTTTGCCAAAACTGAGATCTAACAACAAAGAATCAGATTTTCCTTTCTACCAGAAAGCATGTGTTAAAAAATATTCCTGCAAGCGTTCATGAAAGGCGACTATATTTTCCATGAATATAATATTTCTTTTTTTAGTGGAATACAGAGGTGAAGGCCAATATTCAAAACGTGAAGTATGAGAATCAGAAAAGTATTCTTTTTTATTTTGAGATATGTTACATTTCAGTTGCTGACAAGATATCCAGTAGAAGTGTAGATTTGTGCTTCTTAGGTAAGCTGACAACTCTTCGATGTCATTAACTCTTGAATGAATTGAACTAAGATTTCTGCTCATGGTAACCCATTTCCCTGACATGCACAAAAAAAGAAAATCAAAACCCTAAGTCACTATGGAGACTTTTTAGAGTTTATCTAATTCATTCTGTGTTGAGAAAATGAGGCTCTTGATTACGTTTTCCATCTTTAGCTTTTGTGATGCTATTTTCTTCTGGCTTTCCTCTAATTACCTGGCAATTGCATATATACTGGTAGGTGGTCTTTGTATATAGAGCAAGAGTTAAGTGTCAGCTGCTAACTGAAATGTCAGCAGTTCGAAACCACCCCAGGAGAGAGACCTGGCAATTTCCTCCAGTAAAGATTACAGCCTAGAAAATACCATGGGGTAGTTCTGCTCTGCCACATGGGGTCACTATGAGTATAAAATTGAATTGGCAACAACAACAACAACATATTGTATGTGTGTGTTTGTGTATGATTTTTTTTGTTCAGTATTCTATATTTTACTTTTAATGGATTAAACTGTGAAATATAGTGTGCATCTTGAAAAATGAATGAAACATACAGATTTTTTAATGAATAATTATAAACCTTATGTCTGTGTAGTGGCCATCCAGATGAAGAAATAGAACATTGCCATCATTAGAAGACCTTGTTTTATTATCACTCATGATTAGCACCCCTTCCTCCTTCTATAGTGTCTTAGTTATCTAGTGCTGCTATGACAGAAATACCACAGGTAGATGGCTTTAACAAACAGAAATGTATTCTCTCACAGTCTAAGAGGCTAGAAGTCTGAATTCAGGGCCCCAGCTCCAGGGGAAGCCTTTGTCTCTTTGTTGGCTCTGTGGGAAGGTCCTTGTCATCAATCTTCCCCTGTGCGGGGGAGTTTATCAGCACAGGGACCCAGGGTCCAAAGGACATGGTCCGCTCCTGGCTCTTCTTGCTTGATGTTAATGAAGTCCCTCTCCTCTCTGGTTGCTTCATTCTTTTATATCTCACGAGAGATTAACTCATGATACAATCTAATCCTATGGAGTGTGTCCTGCCTCATTAACATAACTGCCTCTAATCCTGCCTCATTAACGTCATAGACATTAGGATTTACAGCACATCTGATCACAAAATGGAGGACAACCACATAATACTGGGTATCATAGCCTAGCCAAATTGACACATATTTTTGGGAGGGGACATGATTGAATCCATAACACAGAGGTATCCTCTAGTCTGACTTCTGTGATAATCATTTCCACGCCTTTCTTTATAATAGTTTTATCAAGTATATATACATCCCTAAACCACATAGTTTGGTTTTGTTTCTTTTTGAACTTAAATATATGGACTCATTCTGTATGGAATATTTTGCCTAGATTCTTTTGCTCAACATTGTTTGTGAGATTAAGTTGTGTTGCTGAGTGTAGCTTTAGCGCCTTTATTTTCTTCACATCTGTATAGTATTCTTTTGTTTGATTACAATTGATTCATTTTACTGTTGATGGATGTTTGTGTTTTTCTACTTTTTGGCAATTATAAATAACGCTGCCAAGACCATTCTGTGAGAGGTGGAATAATGTAGTTGGTTAAAAGCTCTGTTTCTGAAACTAGATTGTGTTAAATCCTGACTCTACCACATTTTAGCAGTGTAATCTTAAGAAAGTTGTATAATTTCTTTTTGTTTTGATTTTTTTCACCTGTAAAATGAGGATAACTATAGTACCTACCTCATAGGGTCACTATGAGGAGTAATATAATTAAAAAATGTAAAGAATTTAGAACAGTGCCTGACACAAAGTAAGCACAATGTGTTGTTGTTAGGTGCTGTCAAGTCGGTTCCGACTCATAGTGACCCTGTGTACAAAAAACAAAACAATGCCCAGTCCTTCCCCATCCTCACAATCGTTGTTATGCTTGAGCCCACTGTTGCAGCCATGGTGTCAGTCCATCTCGTTGAAGGTCTTCCTCTTCTTTGCTGACCCTCTAATTTACCAAGCATGATGTCTTTCTCCAGGGACTATTCCCTCCTGATAACAAGTCCAAAATATGTGAGACGTAGTCTTGCCATCCTTGCTTCTAAGGAACATTCTGGTTGTACTTCTTCCAAGACAGATTTGTTTGTTCTTGTGGCAGTCCATGGTATATTCACTATTCTTTGCCAACACCGCCATTCAATGTGTTAGTTATTGTTGTTATTATTATTGTGTGCATTGTATATGTGAAAGAGTCTCTGTGGGGAATATACCTAATAGTGGAAATTGTTGGGTCATTTACTTTACTACTAAGCTGTTCTCCACTACCGTTAGTTGAGTAGGAGAATTGTTGCTCCACATCTCATCAACACTTGGTATTATTAGACTTTTCCATATTTACCAATCCGGTTAAGTGTGTAATGATATTCTATTGTGATTTTAATTGCCTTTAGCTGGTTACTAATGAGACTGAGCACTTAAAAAAATATTTATTGGCCTTTTGTGAAGTGCCTTTCAAGTCTTTTACCTATTTTCCTACTGGATTGGCTTTTTTTTTTTTTTTTTTTACTGATTGTTTATAGGTGTTCTTTATATGTTTTCGATCTTAGTTATTTGTGGTTATGTAGATTGCAGATGTCTTCTCCCACTCCATGGCTGTGAGAATGGTGGCAGCATCAGACATTCTTGTCTAACTTCACAAGGGGAAGGAGAGACAATCACCATTCCTGTGAAGTTGAGTTCAGACATACCTCCTCTCTCTTCCCTTTTTACCAGTTCAGATAACAGCCGTCCCGCTCATGGCAGTCTCTACTTCTCTACTGGATTTGATAATTCATTGCAATAGTCACACAGAACTCACAGACAATACTCACAATTATGGAGTTTATTAGGGAAGTACTAGGCTACAACTCGGGATCAAGATCAGGAAGTATGTAGGCGAAGTCTCCCTTCTTCAGTGCAGGACAGCTCTCTCAGCTCCTCTTGGCCATGCAGGGCTCCTCTCGGCCTTCTCAGGACAGGCTCCTTTCTCTGCCCTTGGCCTCCTCTCGGGCCTGGCCTCTGCCCTGCTCTGTCAAGTGTTACAAAGCTGTTACGCTGGAGATGGTGCAAATGGCAAGAAGCAGCAGCAGAGAACTGCCAGCAGCAGCAGAACCAGGAGACCAGCGCAAGATGACGCTGGAGCTGACCCAAGGAGTGAAAGAGTTGAATGCCTTTGTGCACGAGGCTTCCTGGAGGAGTGTGGTGCCTCCAAGCACTTATCGGTCCAGCTAGGCTTGCATGGAGCAAGAGAGCTGAGTTCCTTCCAGCTGAAGTTTACTGGCATGGTGGGGTGCCTCCAGGCACTTATCGGTGGAGCTGAAGAGCTTTGGAACACTTACCTGAGCCGGCAGATGCAAGCGGTGAGGCCTAAGGGGCCAAGAGGCCAAGGAAGCAGAAGCTGAAGAGACAAGGAACACAGAAAGCTGAGCTGCCTCAGTCTCAAAGGGTATGGCCACGACCTCTGGGGTCTCAAACGGTAGAGCCATGGCCTCTGGTGTTTCTAAGGGTGGAGTCACCACTCTGATGGATTAGGAGAATGCTCCCTAAAGCCAAGGAAGCAGAGTTGCTGTCTCAGTGGGCCTGGAAGGTGGAGCTGAAGCTCAGGGCTGAGGGGCCTCCGCTCAGAATCCAGAGAGTGTGGCCAGTACCTAAGAGTCTGGAGGGCAGGGCCATTGTGTGAATGGTCTCAGAGAACAGAGGATTATTTTGAAAGCCTTGAGCGCTAATGTAATCTGTTCTGCTGACTTGCTTGATGCCTGTTATCCCTTCTTTCCCTCCAATTTCTTCCATTTGTAATGGAAATGTCTAGTTTGTGCCTGTTCCGACATTGTATTCTAGTTTCACAAATGAAAACGAGTTTTTTGGACTTTGGACTTGAAGTTGATTTAATACTTTTGCTATGATATGATGGGGTGAATGTGTTTTACATGTGGCAAGGACATGAATTTTTGGCGGCCAAAGTGTGTAATTGTCATGGATTGAATTGCGTCCCCCCAAAAAATATGTAAATCTGTTTGGCTAGGCCATGATTCCCAGTATTATGTGATTGTCCACCATTTTGTCATCTGAT